CACCTGCTATGCCAGACAAAAAAATGCCTTCTCTACCAGAAAAATGACACTTTCCCCTGACCACTTGTCAACCCTTGGACTTTGCAAGTACCCCTCAGAAAGCCAGCAGGCAGATTCCAATCGCCACTAAGAAAACATAACAGAAAATTCAAGAAGTCCTTTAAGTAACATCACTGCTGCCATCAGTACGATGCAGAAAGCACCCTGACACAATAGTGACATGTGCCAATGTGAAACTGCTCAAAACACAGATGGCATAGCTCAGCACTAAGAGGAGTTGCCCATTCTTACAGATGTACCTCTGGGCATGGGGCAGCCCCTGTCAAAACAAAAGCCCACACCAGCAGTGCGGACACCAGCAGCGTCACACCAAGAGCTGAGTGACCACCTTTCCTTGCATCTTCATTATGCTTGAAGTCAGACATGAGTACTCCCAAAAAACTGAGCCTGAAAATAGAACAAGCAGCTCCATGCTACCACACAGAAACACAAATACCAGGATCAAGGGAGGCTTTCGCTTAAAAGTGAGATTTGGTGGCTGATACAATCACATTTCACATCGAATCCTAGTGGTGATTGCTAGGTAGTATAAACACAGGTGACCTCAGCAACAGCTGTGCTGCTTGGGAACACCAGGGTTGGATTTGGTAACCAGAGTTTGGTAAGTAGATTTTCAAGGGGATGCAACTTCACCTTCAGAAAGCTGACTGACTGACTGAAGAAATTATCTGACCTTTCAGTACAGATTTAAAAAAAGACAGCATTTTTCCCCAGTCCCTGTAGTAGGCGGATGACATCAAAATCTGCATCTTCAAATTTTACATTGTTTATGTCTGCCTACAGATGGTTGCAAGACAAATCTCAAGAGTTCGTTTTTTTTTAAATTAAAATATTCTGAAGAACTCATACCTAGCAAATATGAATTTCGCTTGCAGAGGTTTTCTGAGTTTGAGTTTTGGGTGGTTTTTTTTTGGAACAAAGCACTTAGAGGTCCTTGCTGAATTCTCAGCACTGTGTAAGTAGTACAAATTAGGACAATTTATTGCACTTGGATTGCCATTGATTGGTATGCTATTTTTGCCTCTTGTAGAGGAAAAAAAAGCAGGTAGAACAAAGTGGGAAATGTAAGAATGGTGCTGAAGTTGCTGTGAAGTGCTGTGTGGCTCAGCAGTGGTGTTGGCAGGGCAGCTGCAGAGCCCGGCCCCAGCATCTGCTGCAGGATCGGTGAGAGCCCCAACAGAGCCTCAGCAGCCCACTGGTTGCTCCTTAGCCACTCAGCCAAGAGTGCAGCTTCTCCTCAATGCCTGCACTCCCTCATTATCCACATGGTCCGACCTTGCCATGATTACCTCCCAGGGGACCTGGAGAAATATTTTTTTTATCTTGGCAAGTTCACTGTAACAGCATTCAGCAATCTGCTCTGTCAGAACGAGAGAGAAGCCTTCTGCTTTAAATTAAAGCATCAATACATATTTTTTTAATGGGGATTAAATCTATAAGCATCCTAAGTATTATAAAAACTGAGTAATCAGTGGCAGGGAGGGAAGGTATACATGCTTACAAAATATATGGCATCTAGGGAGAAGCAGAAATGGTATGATTGTTGTTATAGATAGGTCAAGCTCTCTCCAACAGGGCTAATTAACAAGGGAAAATGCAGTTCTTCCGATTAGAATTGCTATAACAAAGTAATTGCTACAAGCAGAACTTGTTATTAAAAAGCCAGACAGCAGGCTTGTGAAGAACACTGGAATCAAGGCAGCACCTGATGGCTTGCCCTCACTGCCACCTCAAGCACGGCTGACAACCTGCGGGACTGCACTGGAGCTTTCCAGGAGTCAGAGCCTCTGGCATGTTGTAGAGGCTTAGCCTCTTTCAAGTGCACAGACAAAGTAAGAATCAATATATAAATAAATAAGGAAGGCACACATTTTATGACAGCTTCTACAGAATTCTTTTGATTTTTCAGTTTTATTTGGTCCTTAAACGTGATTTTACTCTTGGAAATGGAGACTTCTGATTATTCACAACATGAGAAGCAGCAGGAAAAAAACTGCCAAGCACTTCTACCAGATTGCTTTGGCTGTGGACAAGGAATGAGAGGCTTCCACTTTCTATCTACTTCTTCAAGTCCACTAAAAGGATGCAATTTTTAAAGTCAGTTCATCTGAAAGGGTTTCTATTAGTGAATTTGCCAGATACCTAATTACAGGCTTTTCAAAAATCATGAGAAAAGCCTGCAAAACTGTTCATAAGGCGTTCAAATCCCATGGGAATGTTGCTAAGTAGGGCTAGTGAACAAAGCGTTGTTTCTGTCTGCCTAGCTGTTACAATTCTTATTTTCAAGTTTTCTTCCCTAAGACAGAGGCAAAACATGTTTTAAGGGAGATCCATGGTTCTCAAGCAGTCAGATGATGCTTGTTATCAGAGGCTTGATTAATAACTGCACCATTTACTGTCTAGCTCACAATGAAATGGCAAGACTCTCCCTTTTCTGGAAAATAGAATCAAATCAACACCTTCTAAGGCCTCCTTCACAGCAAATGTCATTTCTACCAACTCATCTCAACCCTCAACTCTATCCTTCTCAAATGCCTCCTATTTCACTATTATTTTTGCCAGGATTTGTCATACCAAAAGACATCTCTTCTCTTTAAAAACTGAGTTCCCATTAACAGTAAAAAACCTGTCACTCCTTTTGCAACATTTTTTGTTTTGAGCACTACTTTTAGTGTCACATAAGCAAAGTACCTCACATAAGGTATACTTCTCATAAAAATTCTGTCAATTCAAAATACAACATTTTTTTGAGAAGCAATTTTACAAGTGTGTTCATAAGATTAAAAACAGTGTTAGCAAGCACTCAAGAAAAACTGACCAGAACTAGTGTGGTGGTTGACTTCACTATCCTGCTTTGATTAGCTATTATGCTGCATTGTATGCATTTATTACTGCGGTGAAAAAACAAGCGAAGGATGCCAACCTTGCTTATTTGACAAGAAAAAAACAGTTTGCTCTTTTACTTTCATTTGTAAACCTCCACATTCTCTCCCACCTTCCAGTGGTTTCAAAGAAATTCTTGGTCCTGCCTTTTTGCTGCTTGGTAGCTATGGCTCTGACACATTCAGAAGTCACAGTCAGCATAACAAGATTTAAGATCATCTCTGGGGTCACTGGACAGCAGATGTCCTTATAGAGGCGAGTACCACGCCTTGTACCAGCACGACCACTCATTCCCTGCATTCCTCTGCAGTCTCTCTGGTGGAGTTATCCGACCAGCTGCTGGCTGTCATGTGTGCCTGGTCAGGAGAGTGCACAGCACGAGCAATGTGGGATTTGAATGCATCAAGACAAGGAGCATTGCTGCTACTTAAAGGCAGCAGGGCATGACCCGAGCAGCCCCAGCTCTGAAGCTGGGCAATGGATTTTATGCAAGATTTCTCCTGTTCTCCATGTTTTCTCTTCTACTCTTAAGGCACAACTGCTAGAGAGTTCAACACTATGAACTACAATTTTCTATCATCTTTAATTCAGGTGGCCTTTTGTGCTCCATAGCACCATCCAGAAGGAAAAAAACCTCCCAACCACAATGAGATTTTGGTTTCACTCACAAACAAACAAACAAACAAACAAACAAATGTTTGTATTGTACAATATTATATATTTTATATATTATGTATATGTATATTATATAGACAAACATAAAAATAAATATACTGTACTATACTATGTACTATACTACACTATATATATATATATACACTAAAATTGTGCTCAAGCCTTTTCCAAGCTTGGCAGCTGAGGGGTGTCCCATCCTCTAAATTGCACAGACCACCACATTCACACATGCCATCCTTGCAGCACTCCAAAGGTTTCTTCCACAAGTAGATCCCTCCCAGAAGGCCTAGGACTGTGGACAGATTAAAAAGGGTCAATCCATTTTCTCCCCTCTAGAATAGTGACTCTTCCCAGAATGAAGCTTCATGAAGCCTCAGAGAAGAATTTGGACATGATGGGGTGAAATGTGTGCTCTGCAACCTGGCAGGAAACATCTACTCATTCAACACACACAAGGAGTTAACATGCAGATTGTGGTGCTAGGAAGGTCTCCAGCTCCTTTTATCTCTAATAAATCTGTGCCCAGCTTTCTCCAATCTATTACAGCCTTTACGGCCAACCACATTTCTCCTACATCAAACAGACGATTTTTCTATGTCCGTTCATACGCACATGCAGACATGCAATGTCCATGCAGTGTCCCTTCCTGAACGATGTGCAAGAAGCAGTGGGATTTCACTGGCAACTACTAATAAAGCTGCAGGCTCCTGAGCCACACTACTAGCCAGGATAAACACCCTGTGGCGGCAGCGTTCTTGATGCCTGTCATGATGTATGTCAGCCCTGACTTTTGGTGGAGCAGCCAGCTCTGTGCCCCACACGGGAAGCTCACTGGAAGGAGATGGAGTTGACAGTGTTACTACTGATGCTTACAGAGCTCTTCAGGGCAGTGGTTGGAAAGGAGAAGCAACACAGCCCCAGGGCTTCTCCAAGGGAATCATTATGAAAACCATGGCAAAAGAGGAGGTTATGGGTTTCATGATGGGAAAAATACAAGGATGCCTATAGTCATGCTGCTGGCCTCCAAAATTACATAGAGTACGTGTGGCTTCAACCCAGTACACTAAGGCACGTGCATGCAAACATACAAAGTTGTGGAGAAAACATCTTAGGGAGATGGGATGAAGAGAAGCTATTTTAAGTGCCTTCTGCTAAGTCTTACTATGGCAGCAGAAAACGCTTAGAGAAGGCTTCAAAACGACAATCAGCACCCAAGTGAAAAAAGCAAGTAACTATTTCAACAGCAATTTGTTCACCACTTAATGTTTGCCATTTACATCTTTTACAGTATTTTTCTGAAGTACAATGTTTACTGCCTTCACCTTGCCTCTCAAGCCCATTTTTTCTTCTTTAAATAGAAATGAATTTGAGTCATGACTTACATGTAATTTTTCTAGGTTCTGTGCTGGCTAAATTGTTCTCACGATGCAGGGAACAGGATCAGTGGAGAAATTAAGAGGCTACAGCAATCCATTAAGAAGTGGCCCTCCAAAGCTTTGCAGGGCAATGTGCTGGCAACTCAGTCGATATCAACCTAAAATAAAACAAAAGCAGCCATTAAAAAATTCAAATATCAAATCTTTACAAAAGCCCTCCATTTTTTCCTTCTAATTCTGAAAACAATACAGGGACTTTGCCTACCTGTGCTACCTGGTGTAGGGAACCTGCTTTGGCAGGGGGGTTGGACTCGATGATCTCTGGAGGTCCCTTCCAACCCCTACAATTCTGTGTGATTCTGTGTGACTTTATTTTTAACATAGAAGGTTTTTATGTCAAACATGGCAATTACATCGTGTCCATTGCATACTTCTTGCCAGTAAACAGTAGTCACTTTATAACAGACTATGTTTTTTCTTGTATTAGTGTAGTGCCTAAACAAAATACCTCAGTGATTGTTCTAGCAGATCACACTGTAGATACGCTCATACTTGTGCACACATACTATAGAAGCTCTAGCAGCACACCAGAATGGCCTTTCAACAAAAGATGATCTAAGAGACTTCAGATTAACTAATACTTGTTTTCGTCAAGGCTTTGATTTTATCAAGGAATTTATGTCATTAACATTAAATCTGTCCCTTGGTTTGCATTTTATTCTGCGTAACTTCAGAGAAAAACAACCAACCACTAGTGCAGTCCGGTGTCCTTTGGTTAATGCAATGTGTGCCATGTTCCTCCAGCCATACTACAGGAAAGCTATGGCAAGTCAGTGTCAAAACAAAAACTGGAGAGAGTGCAAAATGTGCATGTTCCTATCGGCAATTCACCATGCTGCCACAGATACTCAAGGGCTCAGACCTCAGATCAGGCTAGGTTATAAGAAGGGGTGTAAGCAGCTGGAGAAAAGTATGGGAATGCTTGAACAGTATTGATTTGACTGAAGGTGGTGATTGGGAGTGAAAAGATGGAGTATTTGCCTTTGAACAGAAGAGGACAGCAGCCAAACAAGCAGTGCTACATATGTACCTTCCCAGGATCACTGCAAGCGCTGTATCTGCAGAATTACACCAGCTCATGCAAGATGTAAAAGAAGACAGATAAAAACTATGCTTAGATTTTTAATTAAAATCTATTGTTATTTTTCTGCAATTTGCAAAATTAACCTTCCAGTAGCAACTCCCGTTTTTTAATATTTACTGATTCCAGAAACAAGCCAAAGAATAACACAAACTGCACACTGAAAGCAAATTTGTATTTTTTTTTTAAATAAGTATGCAGATCTTGATTTTAAAAGTCCAGTACTTTCCGAACGTTGATGTGACAACATGCTACTCCGAGCCTTGTAGAGAACTGGATCACTTAAGAAAAGTAGGTTATTTCTTCTGGATGGCACCCGTCCAGGTGATTTACCAACAGATGATCAAAATTCTGCTATGTTTAAGCATTACCTATATAGGTAATTGAAAAGAATCATGAGGCTACTCTAAGAAAGCAATGCTTGCATCTCTTTAGTTTATGTAATTTTCTCCAACTGGGCATAACATTCATTGACAGACGGTAAGAGGACAAAATATTTATGGTTACAAATATACATTATCTAAATTGCCTATAAAACTAAAAATATAAACTGCAAATCTGTTCAGCCGTAAATCACTGGTACAACAAAAATAACTGCCGTTTAGTCAATGGCCAAAGGAATAAAATCAGGGAAGTGTCTGTATTTTCAAGGACAAGTTAGTTTTCTGAGCTAAAACCGCACTTGCCACGGCATATCAGAAGAAAGAGAATAAATAGAAGTGGGGGAGGAGGGAAACAAAAAAAAAGAGAGGGGAAACGAAGACTCGGTGCCACACTTTTCTGAGAAGGTGTGATTGATGTTCACTGCTGTAAGAAAGCATGAGGCTACATCCCAAACATTTCATTCCCTTCTGCAAATGTCTCGCTGCATATCTCTCCCTGTGTCCCCTAGATATACTTGTCCCACACAAGATGATCCAGACAGCATCAGGTTTTACGCATGATCTAAAACATGAAAGCAGGAATCTCTCGGCTGAGGGGTCAGTTTAGGGTAGAATGAAACCTAACCCCCGCCTACGTTAAACACGAAGGCTGCTTCATGCTTTCCATTTTCTAAAAGTATTTCCTTTCCAAAACAAGACAATTACTAAAAGTGTAAAAAGAATACATGAAAATTGAGCTTATATGAAATGATGAACCAAAAGCGCATCTAACAAAGAAAAGATTCAGCATTTAAAATGCTGGCTGGCCAGGCCTGAAGCCCAGGAAGAGCTGGATCCTGTGCAGGATGAAGATGCACTCTCAAGCCTTGCTCAGAGCCCAGACCTGTGCATGTGGGCCAGATGCAACTGGATCACAAGAGGCCACAAGATCATTCCCCAGTGCCAACTCCAAGACTCACCTCCTGCAGCAAGGTGAACGCATGAAAACCTTGTCTTTATTTTAAAAAGAAGCATCTGCCTCCACAGATGCAAAAGAATGTTAATAGAATAACACTTCAAACAAGACATTCTAAGCTTTTCTTTATCCTTTAACTTACGTATTGTAACAACTTCTTGCACATTTTTGAAATATGTTACATTTTTTCCCCTTTCTTTAGAATGCCAGTGTAAAGGAAGATGCACCAGACACCACCTCTAGAAGAGGCAAGCATGAAGCTAAAGACATCTTTACTGCAAGAAAAAAAAAACTTTCTGCTTGGATTTTTGTTATGCAGTGGGTATGTTTCAAAGAGAGGTTGTTAGTGTGAAACAGCAAGAGCTTTGATGCTTAAGAGGAGGAAAGCTGATAAGTTCTTCAGTTTGCAATGAACAAAACAAGAAAGGAGATTTGAGAAGAGCAAGATGAATACACCTGGGTATTGCTCTGGTTAGTGGGAAACATTTTTCAAGCCCAGAAAATAGTGCAATCATGCATCAGAAAATCAGAGAATTTGGGCAGACAGTGAGGGAGGTGAGTAACACACAGCTGGGTTAGCTTACACACCAACTTTCACAACACAGACACAAAAAATGACGGCTAAATGAAATGAGCCCGTGTGACAAGATGAGCTGGTATGCTTCTCATAGGCAGGAGAAAACAGTTTTTAAGGAAGGCTGCACACCAGAGAACAGGAAGAGTGAGCACAAATGTGTAAACAGAATCTGTGTTTTTTAAAGTCTTGTTGCACTTGATGGAGCACAATGTTTGCCACAGAAAAGCATGTAGAAACCAGTTCCAGTCACACCAAGGATCCCTGTCTGTTACATGCAATGAGAGATTAGCAAACATGCTTTCTTTACATTTTGTATGTTTTCAAGTGAAGCTGAAGAATGCTTCTTTCTGGTTGAAACAGCTTCAGTGTAACATTTGTATTTTGCAACTGCTGGAAGGATTGCCTGAGGCTGAGAAGGCACTTTCAATCCTCCTGACATCTAGTATGGGATCTCTCCTGAAATCTGTAAATTAAACCCAAGATCATCTTTGTAGCTACACCAGAAAACATGCACAGCCTGCTTCAATTACTCAATTATTCAATTCAATTTAATTTATTCCTGGTAACTCTCATGGTTCTACCAAAGAGAAGTAGAACACCTGTCCATTGCTCACATTGTGCTCATGTGCACAGTGCTGAGCAGGGAGGCATCATGAGGATCATCTCTGCCGCACAAGGTCCCCACACCTGAGCTGGCTGTGTTCAGATAATAGTAGAGCCATGGGAGCAATCAATCTGGATAGAAACAACAACTGAACTCATCAGGAGACGTAGAGCTGACTGGATGAAGATGAAGGCAGTTTTTGTTGCTCTGTGCTGGCAGGGGAGTCTTCCAGTCTGCAAACTGGATTTTCCCCAGCTGCACTTAACAGTGCCAATAGGGCTTAAGTGGAAAACCCTCAAAGGGCCCGGGGATGTGTGGGGGGGGAATTTTTGACTCCATCCTGTTCTCTGGTTGCTGTTAACTCTGACACATCAGGCAGGTTGTGCTAGAAGAGGTGGGTGGGAGACTGCAGTTTGAAGATGGTACTGCATGAACATTTAAGACGTCATGTAAAATGTGACTGACTTTAATACTGAAATATACTTTACTTAAAATAAAGCCACCACTGAAAACATTTCACCTTGGTAGTATGACCTGTGAAAAGATGGCTAGATGTAGAAGGAAGTTAACAGATTCATTGAGACAACTCCCAAACAACACGTTACCAAATGACACAATCTGATTACTTACGCCTCACACAGCAAAGTACTAAAAATCCAAAACAGATAAAACCAACATATGATAAAAGTCAGATTTGCATCAAATATGATAAAAATCCAGGCTTCTGACATATTCCTCCTTAAAGATTTTGGTTAACAAACATGTGAGCTGGACAAAATATGATGGTTCAGCGATAAGGATGAAATTGCTGTCACAGAATCTGCAGTCTCTGAAAATGATTGTGGATTTGCTAGTGCTCAATCTCTCGGGTAAGGATGCTTCCCATGGTGGCACTAAATGACGCAGTTCACTGGATTTATGCCCCAATGCATGTGAACCACAAGAATTTATGCCTGTCCTGTTGAAAGGGTGCTCCCACTCAGTGCTCGAACAATTATCTCAGTCAGACTTTTACTACTAATTTCTTTTTAAAATTGCAAAATGAGAAAACAGTTAACATGCTGAATGAAAGAACAGGTCACAGTTAACCACAAAAACTCTCCAATAACGTTCAGCATGTGGGAAACAGATAAGTAAATGCTGTGAAAGATGAACAATATTTAAGTATTAACACTTTTCTTTTTCTTTTCTTTTTTTTTTTTTTTTTTTTTTGAAAGTTTGTCTGGCATTTCCACCGGTTTTCCTCTAAGCTCTACTACAAAAATAACTATGTCTGACTCTGACTGGAAAATATGGCAATAGCTCAACATTGTTCCTTTTTCCTTCGTATTCAGGAAAAAATATACCATCTCACAACTTCAGAGAAAGTGATTTTCAGGTGACTTCTGACCAGGGTGAAGTCAGAGGAGCATTCATCAGCTGAGGAAGTTCAGTCTAATAGTCATTAGAGTGTGAAATGAAGACAGACATACTTAATGTTAGGTAAGAAGAAACAGAC